CCAAATTGACGTTGACGATGACAAATATTCGTAATTAAATTTGATTCCAATTAAAAACTGCAGATTGTTTGTTATTAAAAATAATAAACTTGTTATCAATAATATAATTTAATATAATTACTCCTAAATTACGCATAAAATTACAACATTTCATTTAAAATAAGAAAGCCTACAGCGATTTTCAATATAACCAAAAATAATAATAAAAAAACAAAAAATTAAATTAGAAGGTGGAGCATCTTTTACCTCCCCCTCCTGGTCTAAATTTTCAGAAATATACGACAATAAAACTTTGTAAACTTCTAATTGAATTGTTGCTTGAATAATCCTAAATAGTAGGGTAAAGTGTGCAAATCGCGGTCACCTGAGAAGAAAATTTAATATAAAAAAAAGTAAAACTCTGTGAATCAAATTTAAGCCGTCAATCCGTAATTTGGGGTTTTAACTTATTGCAAGATACATTTAATTTCAAAAATATAAAATTTTTGTCTTTGACAGAGACAAAACATAAAAAAGTATCTTTGACCGGTATTGTCACCATACATGGACAATACCGGTCATGAGTGTGGGTAATGCCAGTCAATTTGTGTTATTATTAAAATAAAAATCAATATCTAGCCCATCGTGAGCAAACGGTAAATATATACCACAATTCATTGTTTTTGCCAAACTCGCTGTAAACCAGGCATCTATCTTCGTATGCATCGTCACTGTTATCACATGATATATCAACATCCGATTCCAAAGAACTAGAATCAAACACCTTTTTCTTGTAATGCCAATTACAAGAAAAAGGTGTTTTATTACAAGAAAAATTATCTTGTAAACCCAAATGCAAATTTTCTTAGTTCTATTGCTGTTACGCCATAAAAAATTAAGCTAAATATTTTTTTGTGTGGCTATTTTAGCTTCTTATTCGGCAGAAAATACTGATTTTCTATCTAATGAGACACCTGGAAGATTTTTATTTTTTATTCTTTCTTGCAATGTCGAAAAATGGATGGATTAATCCCTAAGGATTAATAGTATAGGGTATAAATTATAGCATGGGGGTAATACCGGTCAACTGACCGGCATTGCCTCCTGTTGGCATTTTTTTTTCTTAGAATTTTTTACTCGTAAACATGTATTAAAATATTGATCTTTAAAAATGGAATAGGCAGCTAACGTCATTATAATCAATTGTAACCAATTTTAAGATCTACAAGTGAATAAAAATGAATTAATATATTAATATATTACTCAGCACAAAAATAAGATCGAAAACACTGAAAACCGGTTAATAATATTTCTATGACAATAGTTTGCGCCAACTCAACGCTCGTCAGCAATCTGAATACACAGTAGTGTAGCGACACGTTGACAGTTATAGGAGATTGCCAGATTGAATAGATTTCGCACAATCGGGATGACCGCCATTACCCACTGACCGGTATTTGCACAGTTTACCCTACATCTGAAACAATTTAAACGAGAGAAACTCAAAACATTTTTGGTAGCTGAAGCCATTATTAAATTGGTCATCATCATCATCATTCTGGCTTTACAACCCTGCGTGGATCCTAGCCTCATCAAGAATTTCTGTTTAGTCGTCTCTATCCATTGCCTTTCTTTGTCAAACACGTATTCCCATATTTCTCATATCTTCTATTCAAGCTTAAGTTATTTATTGCGTAAGTTTAATGGATGCTTTTAATCTCGTAGGCATTTCATTTACTCTATTAGGAATTCCAATTTTGTTTAGAATAGGATTTGATATTTTGATAAAAGAAATAATGCCAGTAGATATCATAGAAAATCACATCATAATATCTACATAAATAAAACCTTTAATACCAAAACATAACAGAGGCATGTGATAAAATGTAACAAGATAATTCAAATGATACGCACTTTATCGTTTACATCACTATATATTCTACCGAGTGTATTTTTACTTAAAATGGGTAAATTACATATAACCACATATAATACAAGTTTATCAATTCAACATTTAATCTTATCTGGCATCTACCTAATATCAATCAGTCAATATATCCATATACACAGGTATTTCCTTTTTTGTTTTGATATTAATCTATGGTCTGTAATGAAAATAATGATCATAAAAATGAAAAAGTAGATTATAGGCCCGAAAAAGAAGTTACTCATTGAAGAGATTGAAAAGTTTCTTTTGTAACAAGTAAATAGTAATTAAAATCAAATAATATTATCTATTGCCTTCTTTAAAATTTCGTGAAAAACTCATTGAGCTCAGCCACATGTTTTTTACGCCACCATGTAGTGTTGTTCCCTGCCATTTTCTGTCTAATTTAAAATGAACGACCTAATAGTTTTAACTAAAAGTAAATCGAGAACAAAGTCAAATGAATCTTTATTGAATTAACTAATAAAAACATTTGAACAACAAAAAATATTTTCATGTTCGGTCAGACATCAAGCAATTGTATTATTATGTTTTCTTTATCCATATGCGTAGTCGCCTTTCCTAATTACTTGTCTCCATAAATTTCTATCTTGGTCATCAGGTCTTCTTTGGCCATCCTCTCTTACTCCTTCCAGAAAGTTGCAAATCAGGAATTCTTTGCATTGAGTAATTAGCACCTCGACATTGAACATGCGCTAACCATCTTAACATCGACGTTCAGTTTCCTACATGCAGTTTTGTCGTATTTGTTTTATTTCTGAGTTTGAAGTAACCTCCAATTTTGTATAGTATCACCCTATTTAGATAGTTGCAACATTCCGTTTCAGTATCTAATATTTGGGTGTGGTCAACTGGATCCTGTGTTATTTTCTTAAAAATTACGACTTAAGTCTTTTCGGAATTATCGACTATTTTCCATTGAATATTCTTCATATATTAATTATTATCATTTAATAATATTCTTCGTGTTGTTAGATCTGATCTTACACTTCTCGCGGCTATGGCCGTGTCATCGATATATAGGGTCGGTAGTGTTCCAGCTGTATTTAAGGTATCGGCAGTGTATATGCTGTGATATTACTGCTTTCTATGATATTTTTTCTTAACTGGTTTCTCAACTAGGGGTAAGTCTTCGCTGCATTCACTATAGCCGTCCATCTTCTACGATCTTGCGCTTCCATTTCCCATTGTTGTACTCCAATCCAAAATAAATCGGCTAAAACATCATCCTTTCATCTTTTTGATTGTCACTGATTTTCTACTGTCTGGTCTCTTAAAATAGGAGGAAAGCGAGGAATTGGAAGAAAAAAATTGTCCTGGTTACGTAATATCAGAAACTGGACAGGACTTGGATTTGAGGAACTCTTAAGAGCAGCTGAAGATAGACAAACGTTTGCCACCATAACCGCTAACCTCCATTGATGGAGACGGCACTTGAAGAAGAAAGAAGGTCTCTTAAAAAACACTCTCTTTAGCACTCTGTCTTCCTCTGATCTTACCACATGACCTACCCATCTTATCTGATCATTCTATGGTATTCCATCTTAAGGTGTTCTAACTTCGGACAGAACTTGTCCTATCCGAGTTTAATGAACTCATTACTAAAAAGAATTGATGGCGTTACAACTAATAAGAATTGCTGAATGGAACGCATATGGACTTCTAAAACGTAGACAAGAAATCGACATATTCTTAGCCACTAATAAAGTAGACATTCTACTAGTATCTGAGCTGCAGTTATTCGCCAGTAAATAATTTAAAATCACCTCGCATAAGGTCTACAACTCAGCACATCCTAATGCACAAAAGAACCCCAGAGGTAGAGCAGCAATAATAATTAGAAATAATCTAAAACATCAGGAACTACCTAAAATCGAAAAAGACTTCCTACAAGTAGCTTCTATTTGCATAAAAAACAATTTTGGCCCACAATGCATTTCAGCAGTTTATTGTCCGCCAAATTATCAACCTAACAAGAATAGATTTGAAACACTTTTTAGATCATTACGACCCAGGTTCTTAGTGGGTGGCGACCATAATTCAAAACAACAGAGCTGGGGCTCAAGATTATCCTCCCAAGAAGAGGTAGAGTCCTATACAACGTCGAGAAAGAAATGCCAATAAAATATATCTCAACCTACAAACTAACTTACTAGTCAACCAACCGAAATAGACTGCTCGATTTACTTTACTTTTTATCTATAAAGGGGTACCAAAAGAATACCTGCACATATAATCTAATGAAGAGCTATCGTTAGATCATTCACCAATTATTGCAACAGTAATGATACATTTTCTACCTCTAAGACTAACGAATAAAACAACAGAATGAGAAATTTTCAAAGAAATCTTACAAGAAAAATAGACCTAAAAATCCTCCTAAAACAACCGCAACAAATAGAAATAGCAATAGAAACATTTACAAAACAAATACACGAAGCTTCTTAACATTCATTTGCAGCAATTTTTCATTATCTGCAGCTTCTTTAATAATTTTAATAATTTCATCTCAAGAGAAATCTTTTCGAATTTTTTTATGAACTTTTTAACAATAACTTTTCATACTTGACTATATTCACATTATTATCAATATTGACTATTGTTCTTAACATGTATTTTGTCCATAGAGTATAGAGTAGAAGTTTTAAATTTTTTTTGAGGTCTCACTTAAATAGGCCAAGGGGACAGTTTCCGAATATGAGTTTTCTTTTTGTGTTCTTTTCTCCAATGAATAAATGAATAATGAATTATCATACATTTTATCCAATTGGCAATCATTCATTATCACATTATCACTATTTTCCATCACAATTCAACTTTTAAAATGAACGTATGTAAACACTAATTTTTTGTAAAGGAATACAACTCACTTGAATTAATTTGGTTCGTTAACAATTTAGTGTATTGTATGGCAACTAGTGGGGAATACAACTATAGTGCAACACACATTTATCACCGAAGAATTGATGCAAAAACAATATTTTTAAAATATCCCAAAAAGTATTAAGTTGAGATGAATTAAAAATATGTATATAGCTATAAAGAATGATCACCAGAGTGATTTATTTTTCAGTTGATAGTATGCAGGGTTCCGTAGAAAAAATGGTTTTTAGATGGGACTGGGTTGTTCTGTATGTTGGCTTAAAGTTTCTACAAGGAGGAGGAACGGGAGGAATGGGACTGTTAAATAATTTGAGATCGTTCTTGTGGCTCAAAGTACAGCAATATACAACAAGGGAAGTTGAAGTGAGTGTATAAATTTTTTCTTTTTTAAATGTTACGCATTGAATTATTGCTCTAATTTATATATTATATTAGCCACAATTAATGCTTAAAGTTAGTTCATTGACGTTTCAATTTCCACTTCGGAAATCGTTTCAAAAATAAAAACATTAATGTTAGCTAAACTGTTAAAATTGTTGCTATCAACAAGTCCTTAGAGATACTTCGTCTAAGGACTACCACAGTGAGTCTTACGTTGCCATGTAATAAATTCCTATTGCAACTTAAACATCCAAATTTTTAATTATCAAAAATGTAACTCAAAGTTAATCATATAACATTTAAAAAGTTTTTCCTATGTATTTAATGGCTTTAAACATGTACATCCAGATAGTACTGATGATGGAATAGATATTCCGAAAACGTTCTGTGATGTAGCCCGATAGGGTTTTTATTATTATATCTTTTATAAAGGAATTTTTAAATAAAGTTTGCTTACTCTTTTTTTTTTAAATTTGCCTGTTATTTCTCTTACCTTTTAATACATGTTGAAATCGTCATAATATCAACATCTGGGTAGGTTTTAACACTGTTGAATATATTTCGATATCTTTTGTTAACGAGTACATAGTCTATCTGGTTTCTTATAATGACGCCTTCGCCATTACTTCTATAAGGTTATTTCATTACTTCTTATAGGTGATTTCCATGTATACAGGCGTCTAGGTGATTGTATACCTAATGTGTTTAGCACGATTAAGTCGTGATCTTTATACTTTGAGATACTTTTTAGGATAACAAATTAATAATTCAAACACGTGGTTTATAAAACAAAGAATAATATGCTCATAATATTCACTTTTGACTTATAAAAGCTTCTAGCGGAAAACTCTTTTTCTCGTCTATTTATCTATCCTTTTCTTGTGGTGCTTATTCGGATAATAGCGATGATTATGGCAATTTTTACTTTGTTTACACTTAGATTATGGAGCCAGAAAATTAGACGTCTTCCCAGGCATGTATTAACAAACACTTTCCTTTCAATAAACAAATGAAGTGACCAATATCTCTTATTATTTCCCATACGTTTAAAGTAATCTAATTAAATAATAATTATATTTTTTACTACAATAGTGATATTATTTAATAATACTAATGTAGCACATATTATTCTAGGTGGAACTATTCAGACACTTACATAGTCTTTCATTGAAGTGGCATCTTGGTCGAAAAACAGGTGAAGTTTTGAGAGTCATGGATCGAGGAACAGACAGTATTAATAACTTATTAAACTTTCTCATATTTTCCATTTTGCCAACTATAATAGATATAATTATAGCTGTCATTTACTTTGTGTCGGCTTTCAACGTATGGTTCGGTCTAATCGTTTTTGTTACGATGATATTATACATTGGTAAGTTCAAATTTAATCTGTGTATTTAAAATATACTAAATTTTAACCTTCATTTGCAAGTGTTACAATAGAAAAATTGCAATTGAAAAATTAATAAACGAAGGAGGTAGTAGAAGGATGATTATAGGGACTGTACACTATACACCTTTCGAAGTCAGCAACCGGACTTATAGTGTAAAAACTACTAAAACAAAACTAAATAATCCAATGTATGCTGTTGTTTGAGGTATTATCACATAAAACGCATAGTGTATAAGACACCATATATTTGTGATCAAATTGAAAAACCGGGGTTGTTGTACGAATAATTGTACCTATGGGATTTTTTTTATATTATTTGGCGACATTTCTTCTTCTTCTAGTTTCATAACCGTTATCTATCGTTCGATATCATATTGGCTACCATAATCGCTATCATGGTTTCATTGAAATTAGCTCTAAATAATGATGTATTCGATTTTCCGTACTATAGTGAAAGTTAAGACATATGGTTTCCCATTGCTTATTAGTTTCTATAATTGGATCCCAGCTCGCATTTATGTTACTGCCAAGATATATAAATTTCTCGTTTCCTGAACATTCTCTAATATAGTTTTCATTCTCTGCCAGTTTTGTACAATACGTTCCTCTTTGTTTATGCTAGTTATTTCATGTAAAATTTTTCATCTGTTCTCTGTCAATCATAATTTTTTGCTTTTTACCCTTGTAATCTTCTTAAATCGCGTTTAATATTTCTTACGAAAATATTGTGATCTATCAGTATATCTGCGCTTGTAGGTTAGGTTAGGATAGGTTTTTACTGCCATTACTGAGTTGTTGTACATTTTGTTCATACATGCATATTTAATCTATATGGTTACGGACCACTCGTTTAGGAGTAGGTATCTGTTGGTGACTTCCAGATGTATAAAGAGAATTCCAGACGCTTTAGAAGTTTAAATTTTTTTTATTTGTTAGCACTGGTTGCACTAGATTCAGACCAGGAGGGTCTACTATTGACCAATTATTCAACGTAAAACAAATATTAACTAAAGCCTGGAAGCACGATATAGATATCTACCAAATTTTTGTAGTTTTGCGACAAGCCTACGATAACATAAACAGAGATAAAATATACTTAATTACTAGAGAATTTGGTATACCAAGGAAATTATTAAAATTTTTATGTGAAGCTTGAAGAAATTGCAAAACAAATTGGGCTAGCCATCAACGTAGATAAAACTAAAGCCCTAATACATTAAGAAAACAACGGGTTGCAAAATTTGACAAAAGACGAAGCAAATATTGAAGCAGTAAAACAGTTCACATACCTCGGCGTACAGATATCTGAGGACGGCGGCCTGAAGGAAAAAATACGGAAAAGGATAATGTTTGCTAATAAATCATACTTTTGTTTATCGTTGGGGTTTGGATCCAAAGACATCCATAGGGAATTAAAGTTCAAAATATATAAAACCATTATACGAACAATAGCAACATGTGGAGTAGAAACATGAATCATGACAGAAAAGATAATTAATTATTTTGAAAGAAAGATATTGAGAAGGATATTGGGACCTATTTGGGACAATGGTATGTGGAGAATAAGATTCAACCACGAGATATACCAATATTAGAAAGAACCCTTTACAGCAAATAATGCAAAATTATAAAGATTGCGCTGAGCAAATCACCTTATAAGAATGAAACAGAACACCTAGTAGACCGTTTAGTGGAACTATAGTGGGACGTCGGCTAGTAGGAAGACAAAGGAAGAAGTGAATAGATGAAGTGGGAACCGATGCTAAAGAGACATTGAGGGTGGATAACTGGACGAGAGCAGCCAGGGAGAGGAAATCCTGGGGGTGGATCCTAGATCAAGTTTTTATAATATCTTCCGGTTCTCCTTTGCCAATTTTCACATTCAAATTTTCCATGACACTATTACGCTCATGTTTTTATGTAAATGCTAATACTTTTTCTACATCATTTTGTAATTTTTCAATATCTTCTTCGTTACAGTCTTGTGTAGGTTTATATACTTGAAATACATTCACATTTATTGTTGTTGTTTGCAGTGGTATGATTAATATCATAGCTGTATCATCTGTCTCATCACATTCCACTTATTCCAAAAATACTTATATCTAGCGGCTTTATTCTTTATTTAGTGTAATAATTTTTTTCCTGGGTATATGCTTCTTACATTTCATATACCTAATAAAAGATGATCCTAATAGAAGATGAAGAAAGCAAAGTGAGAAGATGATCCTTCTATAGTTCTGACATTCAAGAAAATCTCTTTTTTTGGATGGTATATTATAAATGGTAAATCGGCAGATTATTCCAATATTCCATTTGTCTGTTAATTTACTTTTTTTTTTCATATTTAAAAACTGAATTAACAAGTAGAATCCTCATCCTCATTATTTGCCTATGCGAACAAACTTTAGCGATTGTAATTTGTAAAACATCTCACAATAACCTATTTTACCTAGCTAAAATCTGGGAAAAATCTAAAGTCAGATATTAAAAAATATTTTTTAACACAGTTGTTAATCTAATTAAACGATAATTTATACACATTTTGTGATCCACAAAAAAAGAAATATTTTCGAAAAAATAGAAGAGGTTCATTTTAATTTAAAAGAGAAAGAGTAAAATATGTATAAAGATTAGAAACAAATGAAATTTTGGAAAATAGGTATAAAAACGAAATATTGACTGATTTAACAAAAATGTAACGTTTAAAGCACATAACTAGACTAAGAATAAATGAAAGTTAGCTTTAAATCTTCTAATGGGGTAAGCACATTTGTAAACAGACAAGAGTGAGATTTACACCAAGGCTACAGTTTCTTAGCGGTTTTATAATTTGTTGGCAAGGATCTGCTTTCATGATCATACACAGCAATAAAGACTCAAGTAAACAACGTAAAAGAAAAGATTTTTTGTTTCCGTATTTGCTGTTCACTTATAATTCTTTATGGTACCAAAATTATGTAGTTGATTCAAAATGGTTGAAAATAATAGTGCAGAGATATTCCCTTTCATTAAGTCACACAAATAGCTGTTGTAGTGCCTAGAGGAAACGAAACGATATTCCGGTCAGAATACTCTTATTTCTTTAAGGCAATATGCTTCTCATGTAATTGGACCACGTCAAATTTATTGATTACTGTTTACAAGATATTGATATTGTCTCAAAGATTTGGCCATCTAACTACGCTGATATGAATTCCATTGTGCATTTTAAAAGAGAGTTGAAGGCTCCACTCAATAGTAATAGACATGGACGTATAAACACAGATGGACTCAGTTATTTACATAAAATTGTGAAGTCAAAATTATTTGAATAGGTCACATTCTCAGCACCTTCAACTGTTGTCACGTTTTGTTTTAAAATTTCTTATTCGCGAGACGCTGAAAATATTACTCCGTATTTTATACTCTACAGGTGCTATCAAACCAAAATAACAATTTATTGGTTAGATTAATATATTTAATTGTAATCAAAATATAAAGTGTGCACATAGTGTGCATTATCATTTAATAATAGCGTATAATAGATATCAATCAATTATTTTATATGTAAAAGCACTGAAAACTATTTATAAATGGCAACGGTTGTTTACATTTCTCTGTCTTATAGATCTACGCCTATTACATAACGATCTATTACATAACGAGAGTTGTAAGAAGCTTATTACATGCGAGTAAAAAAGTTTTAGCAGATTAATAATTTTTAATCTGTCAAAATAACGTCTGTTTATTCGTTTCCATGGTAACTCAACCAACTGACTTACGAGGCTTATGTGATATTACACATTTTTATAAAACTGAAGCGTAATTTTTTTATTACGTGCTAGTCATTACGTGTCAGTATCTGTTTTGATGCATTTACTTAGCATCCAAATAGTAGGTAATATACAATTTACTAGTAAGAGAGTAGAAAATAGTATATTACATAACGAGAGTTGTAAGAAGCTTATTACATGCGAGTAAAAAAGTTGCGCGCGAGCCGCGTAGCGGCGAGCGCAGTAATTTTACAAGCATGTAATAATCTTACAACTCAAGTTGTGTACTATACTTTTTCTACCCTTATTTTCGTTTATAAAAATAAAAATTAAATTACCACTATATTTACACTGACAGTTTAATAATTTTTAATCTGTCAAAATAACGTTACCATGGAAACGTTAATTCGTTTCCATGGTAACTCGACCAACTGACTTACGAGGCTTATGTGATATTACACATTTTTATAAAACTGAAGCGTAATTTTTTTTATTACGTGCTAGTCATTATGTGTCAGTATCTGTTATGATGCATTTACTTAGCATCCAAATAGTAGGTAATATACAATTTACTAGTAAGAGAGTAGAAAAAGGTATCTTATTGCTGTGTCCATCTATGTTTATACGTCCATGGTAATAGATGACACACAAAATACAACTTCACATATTATTAATAAAACAAAAATATTTTATTAATTCATAAAGAATTTGATAATAAAAAATAGATTAAGCAATTTGCATATAAACAATGAACTAAATTATCTTTCAAAAGTATGTATGGAATGCAGTGGTATTTAGTTACTGATATCAAGAGAATACATATTTGTACAGAAACGTGATATGTTAACACCTATATATTATTTTTTATGCAGTTTATATATATATATATATATATATATATATATATATATATATATATATATATAATATATATATATATATATATATATATATATATATATATATATATATATATATAGAGTTTGTATAACGACGCTAAGAATACAATTCTTTGAAAGATAACTTTCGGGAAAGCGTCAAAACAAGGATCAGCTAGAGATGGTATAAGCCAGTTTGGTGTAGAACTTTATTCTAATCTATTCACCGAAAATTTCACATTTAGAATAAAGTTCTACACCAAACTGGCTTATACCATCTCTAGCTGATCCTTGTTTTGACGCTTTCCCGAAAGTTATCCTCCAAAGTATATATATATATATATATATATATATATATATATATATATATATTTATATATATTTTTTAAAATATTTTTTCTTTGTGTACACAAATTTTGAAGGAATGTGTTTTTGAAAAGATGAGTTATCAGTGTTCAAAAATCTTGTCTCCATCTAAAGTAATATTTGAAAAAAGATTTTACTCAAAAAATATTAATTTTTGACATATATGATGTCTTTTACAAGATCTGTCGAGAGACGCAGAATCTAAAAATATAATAATATAGGATGATCCACTAAAAATAAAACAAAAAGTTGATGGCTACCTCCGAGTTTTGCCAGAAGTAATCTTCTTATGGTGCCTATCCGTTATGGATGTTGGACACTAACATGGCTATTCATGCACTTTACCTTGAAGTATGGCCTGAAGTAGGTCTTATCGTTGTTCATTGCGCATTATATGGCCCAGGTATTCCAGTTTGCGACGTTTTATGGTTACGATTAGTTCGCGCTCTTTACCCATTCTATGTACTACTTCTTCGTTGGTAACTCTGTCTATCCAGGAAATCCTCAACATAAGTCTATAGCACCACATCTCAAATGCTTCGAGTCTCTTCAGTGATGCTTCAGTTAAGGTCTATTACTCCACGCCATATAAAAGAACGGAGAACTAACTTTTATGTCCAATTTTATATCTTGCCTTTTTATATCTTTGATCTTGCCTTCTCGATCCTTATCTTAATTTCCGTCGATTGGCCTCACTGTTCATTTAAGTTTGTACCCAGATAACAAAAGTTGGTGATTTGTGATATTTTTGCTTATAACCATGTATTTGGTTTTTTTGATGTTAAAATCAAGCCCAAACCTGCTACTTACTTCTGCCACACTGGAGACAAGTGTCTGCAGACTTCAAGACTGTCTGAAAAAATGACAGTATCATCAGCGTATCTTATGTTGTTTAATCGTTCTCCGTTTATAAGTATTCCCTCGTCTATGTCCGTTAGCGCTAGGTTCATAATGTGCTCTGAATATGTATTGAACAATATTGGGGACAATATACATCCCTGTCGCACACCTCTTTTTATCTTTATGTCGTATGTTAACTGATCCACAACTCTAACAGCTACAGTTTGTTCGTAATAGATATTGTTTATTATATGGCGATCTCTGCTGTCTAGACCAATTGAATTTAATATTTTCATCAGTTCGTCATGTTTTATTTTATAGAACGCTTTCTGGTAATCAACAAAACACACATATATATCACAATTTACGTCTCCACATCTTTGAAAGAGAACTTGTATTGCAAAAAGTGCCTCTCGAGTACCCAATGCATCCCTGAAGCCGAATTGTGTGTTTGTCATGTGTTATTCACACTTTTTATATATTCTTTTATGTATAGTTTTTAAAAAAGTTTTCAGGAGATGGCTCATAAGGCTTATTATTCGATAATCTTCACATTTTTTGGCATTGGGTTTTTTAGGGATTGTTATAAAAGTTGATCCTAGCCACTGTTGGGGTATTTCTCCACTTTAATATATATTGTTGAAGATCAAGTTAAGTCTTTTTACTTCGTCTTTATCCATAATTTTCCAAAATTCTGAGTAGAACTCGTCTGGTCCTGTTACTTTTTCCTCCTTAATGTTGTTTATAGCAGCTTCTACTTCCGCTTCGAGAATAGGTGGTCCGGTATCGTCATTTTTATTTTGAGTGATGGTGACATTCCTATCGTCTTCAAATGTTGTTGTCACATACTTCATCTATGTTGTTTTTGTTTCTTCAATATCAACTATTGGATTTCCTTGAGTGTTCCGGCCTTTTTGATTTATAGATACCTCTTGCTTCTTTGATCTTTTTGTGGAGGTTGAAGGAATCATGTTTACGTTCCAATATCTCAATTTCTTCACACTGTTCTTCCAGATTTCTATTTTTAGCTTCTCTGACAGCTTTTTTATCTCTTTGTCTAGAAATTGATATGCAACGTTGTCTTTTAGCTTGGATTCTCTTCTTCTGTCCATCATCTGTAATATACCGTCGGTCATCCATGGTTTTTTCTTTTCTCTTTTTCGGTCGCAGGTACTGGTCTAATATTTCCTTCCCAATGTTTTCCAAGTGGTTTGTTTTTGTGTCAACATCATTAACTACTTCTGAATTGGATATGTTGTTCTTCAGATATTCCCGTACTTTTTTGCTTTATGTCATCATCTCTTAGTTGTTTGAGATCGTATTTTATAGGATTAAGTTTGTGGATTTTTTTAAATTTCAGACGAAACTTAGCGACAAGTAGGTTATGGTCTCAATTAATATCTGCACCAGGGTAGGTTTTCACTGATATTATTGAGTTTTTGAATATTTTATTTATTAAAATATAGTCAATCTAGTTTTTTCTGAGATTTTCTGGCGTGTCACCGGGTGAGCGCCATGTGTACAACCTTCACTCTTCAAATTTGAAGAGTGTATTCTCTCATGTATACTCTTATTTCGCTCACCCAGACCCCATGAACATACTACTTCACCATAACTACCCTTACCGATTTTGGCATTAAAGTCACCCATAACTAGCGTTACTTCATTGGTTTTTAACTTACTTATGACTTTCCTTAAATCGTAATAAAAAGCCTCTATTACTTCGTCTGATTTGTCTGTTGTGGGTGCGTATATTTAGATTATAACGCCATGCTTATGTTGACCTTTTGTATTTCCAGGGTAATATACTTCGTGCTCGTTTATTTGACTTTTTTTGAGATCAGGCCATCGCATTTCACTTGTGCCCATTATATCAATATTCAGTCTTTCCATTTCATGGATGACATTATAAATTTTGCCTGCTTGAAGTGATAGCGAGTTATAAATATTTTATACAGTTAGACTAACTATATTTATTATTTTCACACTTATAATGTACAGTCTGCGTGAACGAGGTTATTCTGAATTCATTTTAGTATGGAATATTTATATTAACTTCTATATTTTTTGGGAATAAAAGACAATTATATTTAAAAATAATTTATTTATTTACGTTTCAATTTCAAATTTCAAAATTTCCGAGTTTAAAATCGAAATGTCAAAATTAGGTTATTTTAATTATTTTCTTCTAGGGCTATCCGCTGCTCGTACAAGTTCTTCGAAATTTTAGCCCGATCTATTGTCCTGATCTTTTTTTATCCGAGATAGCTTATTCCTTCAACTATCGCATCTTTCTCAAGATAACTCTATTTGTTTTATTAGTGATAATAGTTCTCTCTACGTATTCATTGTAGAACTTGTTCATTCGACATTCTTATATGTTAAAACCATTGGTGACATATTACAGCCTGAGTTTGTGTAAATAGACCCGGTTAAAGGCTTGCTTCAAATCTATAAAGGTAATATGCGTTCTAGATTAAATTCTATTTGTTTTTCTATAAATTGTTATACAGTAAAAACATTGTTATAAATAGACCTACCTTTTTGAAAATCATGTTGTTCATCTCGCATAATGGCTTCTCTAATATTTTTAATCTACTAAGGCGGTCCAAAAAGTACTTAGCCTACAAAAGAAAAACGAAAATTTATTTCTCAACATAGCTACTTTTACTCAATATACTATACCCAGCGATGTTCCATCTTCTTTAACCCGTATGAAAAATACGTTTCCTCGAGGTCTGCAAATAGGCTTCCGTGGCGGCGATGACCTCCTGTTTTTGCTCGGCGAGTGCCTTTTTCAATTTCGGAAACAAAGAAGTCACACAGGGCCAAATATAGAGAATATGGTGGAAAGGGCAACAGTTCTTAGTCCAATCGAGGTATGAGCCGGTCTATTGTCATGTCAGTCTTCGCCTCCTTCGGAGCCAATTTGTTGGGTGCCGCCACTGTTTCGAATGTTTCTTGGTCCCTGGTGTATACCAATGGATTCATGTTTCGTCAAGGGTTACGAAACGATGTAAAAACTACTTTGGTTGATAGTTAAACTTTTGCTACGAGCCAATCTTGCGCCTCAGAACGCGCTCTAAACATATCAATATCTTGTCCAAAAATAAACCTACGAACATTTTTAAGCTCAAAATGTCCCTTTTGTGTTCTTTTATTATTGCTGTTAATTTACGTATAAACATTTATTACTCAAATTTGCTTAAAACCCTTATAAGAAAAGTTAATTTAAATTTTTTTAAAGAATATTTCATCAAACAGATATAACGTTAAAACAAAGTAATATATAAAATTACTTATATAAAGTAATTTAACAAATGTATTCTAAAAATCGATAAATTAAGCTTTAAAATGAGATATTGTAAATCTCAGTTGTATGCGAAGAAGCCGAGCTACGATAGATTCGAAAAATACTTATTTTGCAACCATGTTACACTAATTTTATAATATCTGAAGTTCTAATTATTGGATTAAAGTTTAGTAAATGCCATTTTCTTTACACAGCACAACACAGACAACAGTTAAAAAACCTAAACCCTTTGCAAATTTCTTTCAAGGTAGTTTTGTAATGTTAATGTAAGCACTCTTTCTAAAGCTGTAGTGTCATATAATATTTATAATGCATATCCAGCCTATGTATTAAAAGGCGTTATTCCCTCAAAGGAATATCGACCTTCTACCACCGGATAGTTTTCGGGTTGGGCTCTCCTTATTACCATTTATTTGTTTATTTTCCTTTATTTAATTCTGCTTGTCAGTACTATAAGATTTTTCTTTGTTTTTTAGTACTTACAATTATAATTACTGAATGGAGAACAAAGTTTCGACGTAGCATGATCACAGCAGAAAATGAAACTCGAACGAGGAGTGTTGACTCGTTACTTAATTTCGAAACTGTTAAATACTATGGTGCAGAAAAATATGAGGTAAAAGCTTTTAGAGAAGCCGTTCTCAAATTTCAAGTAAGTTTTTGTTTTTATTTTGTGTTTGCTTTTTGTTTTTGTACAATAAATCAACAAACAGAACAAGATTCCGTTGCCTGTCAGAAATTCAATGGACACCTTCTTAGACTCTTACTGGAATCTGGTAATTAAAAAAACAGAATAAGAGATTAAAAATAAAATGTTAGGTGAAATCTAATAGACAATAAAAATGCACTAAAGATGCTAAGAAAAAATGTTAAGGTATTCAGAGCAAGAACATTAGAAATTATTAGAGCAAAATACTAAAAATTCTTAGATCGAAATAAATAAGCTTGAAAACGTTTCTGATATATTTTTTTCAAAAAAACCTGTTATTACATCTAAGTGTGCTATATATATATATATATATATATATATATATATATACAAAAAAATTTTTTACAAAAAATGCAATTAACTTTTCCTTTTGCTATTTAGCCACTAACCGCACGATATCGCTCTTTGTTTATTTGTTTACACTGTCCCACTTGCACTGAAACAATTGTGTTTCCTTCTGGAATGTCCAATTTTCTTCAAAGGACTGAAGCTCCTTTTTTATTGTCTGTCACCATCAGGTCGTGACTTTTTTACTGTAACATCATGATTTTTTTCATCAACTACTGTGGTTATGTTAATATTACCTGAACTGGTATTATAGCTTTATTTGCTACCACATGATTTCCTTAGTAACACTTTATTGACTTGTAAAAATCCATTCTGAGTTGGCTGTTAGGTGGGTACTCGCGCCTGAATCCACATACCAATTGGACTTGTTATAATTCCCATTCAAGTAGAAGGTAGAAGTAGCAAACTTCCTTCCATTTTTTTGAAGTCCCAATATTCACATTCTCAGCAAAATTCAGCTTGTTTGTCTGGTTTTTAAAAGTCAAAATCTCTGACGACTGAACTAAGAATGAATTATTTAAATATGAAATCTGAAACCATTACACAGTGCCTTCTGTTTAGAAAAACATCTGATACCTATTTTATTTAACTAGAACAATAAAAACGTCTTATTTTAGTGTCACTTTCAAACGTTCTTCTTATCTATACTTAATTGCATAAAATACGACACACTTTTAATGGCAAATTTTGATCTTAAATATTTTTTATTAATAGCTTTTTGCCAATTTTGATAACTTTTTTACAAGTAGAATTTTGCAACATTATTTAGAATTCCGCGTAAAGTCGAATGTATTAATATTATACAAGAAAAAAACAAAATTATATTTCTATCATCTAGATCTGTGATTCTATATCGACCCCCAAGGGTCGATGAAAACCTGCAAGTGGTATATGTGGCAAAAAAAATTGGGGGTCTATAAAATATAAATGGAAGTCAATGGCAAATTGCAATCATCAATTATTGTCATGCAAGCAAACGCCTTTGTGCCTTTTATGCAACGAAGTTTTATATGCATTAATAATTTAGCCAACCGCGGTGTTATATGTTAACACTTAATAGGCAATTTCTTTATTCTCATTCGCTAGATAATGCAAGACAACATTTCGCCAGCATGCTCCCCGATTGAAATTATGTTTTGCAAGTCTGGGATCATCTAGTTAGACATGTAAAAAGTCAAGAGATTTTATATACTTATCTAAAAAAAAATTAAAAATGGACTATGTATACTCAGTGACATTAGAATTGTTACACCCAACAGGAATAATTTCTTGAACTTAATTTTTTGGCAACATGGTAGATTTACATTAAGAACGAATCGATAACGTTTTCAAGAATTTTTATTAACAAGTAATCAAAACAGAATTAATAATTTGTTTGGTGACCCCGTAGCTAATACAATCCTGTATACGTCTAGGCATTGACAAAATGAGATGTTTGATGTCTGCTTGTGGCACCTCGTTCCAAGCAACTTAAATTTCATGTATTAACTGTGCCAGAGTCTGTGGAGGATGGTGCAAAGTGGACAGTCACCTTTCCATCATATCCCATATATGTTCGATAGGATTTAAATTCGGAGCACGAGGCGGCCGCGGCAAAACATTAACGCCAGCTTCTTTGAGAAAGTCCATAGTTTAAAAATGACGTCTCGACGGCCGTCGAGATAAGGCAGTAAAATGGTTTGTAAGATGTCTTCAACATAACGCGCAGCCATATTGCCTCGAATAAACACAAATGGTGATCGGCTACCATAGGCAATAGCCCCTCAAATCATTACTCCAACTGTCCTGTGTACATGCCTCTCCACAGCAAACCCGATATCTCGTCGTTCTCCACGGCGGTGTCTTACCATCCTACGACCATTATGCATTCCTAAACAGAATCGAGATGCATCGCTGAATGCTACATTACGCCATTATGCTACCAAAATGCCGTTCTCTGCACCAATTCAAACGTTGATGACAGTGGTCCGTAATCTAAGGAAGCACTAGTCGTGGGCGAAATGAACCCAGACCAAAGGCTCAAATGCGACGGTATGGACTACGCATATTCTATGCACAGGTCTACTGCTACTCCATACCATTGGTCAGCAATTTGACACGTAGTAGAAAAACGGTCTTATAAAGCCAGTAATTTAAAGCGCCTATCTTGACGGTCTGGGGTACGCCTTGGTTGACCAGTTGGTATTCTTTGTGTTCCTCTACCCTAATTCGTTCACACACGACAGACACGCATAACCATCATTGCCGTACAATTAATACGACGGCCAATTTCGCGATACGACAAACCCCTATCTCTATACGCAATAATTATATCCCTGTCAACATCGCTAACATTGTGGTAATCTTGGTGTCTTCGAACGCGAGACATTTTCTTATGCTGAATACAATTAGACTGAGGAACAATAACTAAAAATTTCTATATGAACCGGTTTTCACAAATCGGTCTCTTCACAAAAAAAAATTAAGATAAAACTTTATTTTTAAAAAGTTAGAAGAGATAAAACATTGGTATTGTTATCTTCATTATCATCAGCCGTTTTGAGTCCACTGTTGGACATAGGCCTCCCGTAAATAATTTCAATGCATTCTATCTTGAGCACCCTGAATCCAGTTGTGCTGAATGCGCTTGATGTCATCTGACCACCTTGTTGGAGGACGTCCTCGATTACAATAAGCATCGTATCTAAGTCTCCATTCCAGAATTTTCTTCGTCCACCTTCCATCTTTTAATCTGGCAACATGCCTCGCCCAGTTCCATTTCAATGTTGTAATCCTTTGAACTGCGTCAGTAACACCAGTTTTTCTCCTAATTATTGTATTTGATACTCTGTCTCTGAGGGATATATTCAGCATTGACCTCTCCATCGCTCTCTGTGTCACTTGTATTTTATTGATTACTTTTCTGGTAAGTGTCAATGTTTCTGATCCATACGTTAGAACTGGGAGTACACATTGATCAAAGACCTTCCTTTTCAAGCACATGGGAATATCTGATCTAAAGACTTCTCTCAGTTTTCCGTAAGCCGAAAATGCCAGTCCTATTCTTTTATTTAGCTCCGTTGTTTGATTATCTCTTCCTAATTTAATCTCGTAGCCCAGATATTTATAGCTATACACCCTTTCAATTTGCGTGCCGTTAGTTGAGGTGTTTTTCGCTAGTACGAGGTTCGTTATATATTGTGCTTTGGAGAAAATAATTTTAAGTTCAACTCGTGTACACGAGCTCTGAAGGTCTTGAAGAAGCTGGCAAGCATGATCTACACGGTCTGCAATAAGGACTATGTCGTCTGCAAATCTCAAATTGTTCAGAAATTCTCCATTTATGTTGACTCCAATATTCTCCCTATTATTATTTCTCATAGCACTCAGCAACAAAGCGGTGAATAGGTTAGGAGGGATGGTATCTCCTTACCTAATACCCCTTTCGCAACACAAATACATTTCCCTTCGAGAGGGGTATTGTTATCTTAGCATGTTTTAAATATAGTCATTTTGTTGCCAAAAAATTAAGTTTAAGCAATCATTTCTTCTAGGTATAACACTTCTAATGTCACTGAGTATATAAATAAAAAAAATATTGAAGATCAAAATTTGTTAACATTTTAAATGGTCGTTTAATATCATTCATCTCCATTCCAGTCTATAACGGCTGCATATTAACCTCATTAATTTTCTTAATAATTAAAGTCGTATTTTGTTGTAGGAAGAAGAGTTTAAGTCAAACATTACTCAAAATATTTTAAATACTGTACAGAACCTTATAATATGCGGTGGACTGTTGGCAGGAAGTTTACTGTGTGTGTACATGATAGTGGAACCTCACACTCTTCAACCGGGAGATTACGTATTATTTGCAACCTATATAGTTCAACTTTACATACCTCTTAACATGTTTGGTAGTTACTACAGGTATTTACTTAATTATATCTTATGTTTAATCATACATATTAACAAAGAATACTAGGCATAAAATCACAAATATCAGTATTTTTAATATCTGGTCATCTATTCGTTCTTTCAATGTATATCCTATCTTATGAGACAGTTTCGACCGTATCAACACACAGACAGCCCTAAAAACTTTCGAATCTAAGACTGAAACTCAGAAGCGCAAATTAGCGCATCTAATTGCCGAACAAATTCCAAAAACAACAACGTTGAAACCCACTACAGTGGTTCATAACTTTTCTGATACTGCTATTTCGACCATTGGCACTCAAGCTTTAGAAAAAGGTTTCAATTACTCTCTTACCCCAAGTTAAATTCCAGTTGAGACAATCATCTGTCAAACTGAAGAAGCCATCTCCAGTTGTTTACCTTCTCAAGATGCTGGAATAACTAGAGAAGACATCGCTAGCGTTCTTAGAAACTAAGCCTAAACTAAAGCCTCCTACTCCAAACATTAGCCAATCTGAGAAAAAAGCCCTGAAAGAACTTCAGTCAAACACAAACCTAGTCATTATTCTCGCCGATAAAAGCAATGCCACCATCATCCTAAATACTCTTATCTTAATAAACTCTTAAATCTCCAATCTAAATACTCCAGACTACAGACCAATTGATAATAATCCAACAACCTATCTGGAGAAAACAACAAAAGCCATTATCAATAAAACCTCCCTTCCTATTGACATAAAAAAATATTTAATTCCTCGTGAAAAGTCTTCCAGAACACATCGAATATATGGCCTACCCAATATTCTCAAACCCGATATTGCTCTACGTCCCATTGTCAGTGCATACAACTTTCCGTACACAACCATTGGCCAAGTAATTGGCCAAAACTTTACAACCTCTCGCCAAAAATGCTTTATCCTTCGTCAAAAATTCTTCTCATTTCATCGAACTTCTTAAACAATACTCTATCTCACCGTCAGATATTCTAGTAAGTTTCGATATCGTTTCACTCTTTATAAACATTCCTATAGAAGAAAATTGTAAATATTCTAAAAACTAAATACAGTATGCAGCTAGACCACTTATCTCTCATTAAACATTGTGTGTCCAAAATATTTCATCTTATAAAAACAATTCTACAGACAAATAAATGGTGCCCCAATGGACTTCCCACTATCCCCAGTAATTGCCAATATTTCTATGGAAGACTTCGAGATCCTACCACTATTCACATCAATGCTCAAACCAACATATTGGATACGTTATGTTGATGATACATTCGTCATTTGGCCCATGGCAGTTATGTTTTGGTGTCTTTTTAACCCCATCTGAATGGTATACATCCTAACATACAGTACTGATTTATTCCAACCGTTTTTCGACGTTATCATCAAGGTTTTCATCACTCTGTTTATCGAAAACTCACCCATACCAATTGTTACTTGCATGCCAACTCTCATCATCCCCATTCACAAATTAATTCAGTCAATAATAAGCTTGTCTCCAGATCAATACGCTTTTGCGATAATGCAAGTAGACCCGCTGAGCTCTCTAGTTTAAAACAAGCTCTCGTCCAAAATGGTTACACGGTCACATCAATAGGAGCATCCATAGACATCAATCTCTCACTCAATCTCAAACCAGACTCAGACCCTCATCATACGAAAGCTTTTCTTCCTTACATCAAAGATGTCACTGACAAAATCGACAAAATTCTATAATCAAGAGGAATAAAGACGATATTTACCCCCCAATAAAAACTTCATTTCTTGTAAAATCAATCAAAGACAATACTGCAAATGAACAACACGGAGTTTATCAAATTCCTTGTGCGGACTGCCCCGATTCTTTATAGGCCTAACTAATCATAGAATCTAAAATAGGATTTATGTTGAATTGGGGTAACTACAAAGATGAAACAAATGGGTACTTACACAAGTCTCTTGGAACAAACAAAACAACAGGAAAGACCTCTAGCAATTTAAAATGGACGCCGCGAGGTGACAAATTATAACGATTACAACTAGTTGTAACTATTGAAATAATTATTAGACATAAGAAACATATCTTTTTAAATTAAACTCAAAAAAGGGGTTAGAGAGTTAGTTACGGGATATAAACAAAATGGTTTAAAAAAAATTAAACATTTATTGTGTCTCACCAGAAAGTTACAAAATATATATGGCACAAAAAAATACTATATTAATAGTCACAAAGATAAATACAAAAATAACGAAGAAAAACACTTACTTGTCATTATCTGTTTACAAACTCTATTTACAAGTGGGAATGGCTACAAAACTTACAAATGTTAGTGCATGGAGGTTAATCTTTTTTAAAAACAAAACAAACTAATGTCAAAAAATAATAAAGCTAGTTGTCATAGTTAACATTAAATTTTAAATCTTAGAACAAATAAATTGACAGCTAAGGTCACACCCTAAAATTTAGAATTTTAAATATTACAATTTTTAACCTGTATGAAAGCAATTATTGTTATAAAAAAATGTCTATCGTTACTTTAAAATTTAACACAAAAGTTACCCGGATTGCACTGGGGATTTACACAAAAATTCTGGGGGTGGAAACTAGACTTCACTGGAATTTCTGGGGGTAGAACTGGGCTTCACTGGAATTTCCGGGGTAGAACTGGACTTACACTCTCTGTGTAACGAACACACCAACAAATTCATCTCCAAACTACCAAAAAGCCTGGGATGACAACCAGGGAGAAACAAAACGGATGGAAACAACGATCTTTCCAAACCTCACTTAAACTGCAACTACACATTGAACTGCTACAGTAATTCATAAAAAGAGACAAAAAAAATTTGAAATTTGACGAACAATTTGGATCCACACTGAAGCCAACTGCCCCTGACAGCGACCTCAGTGAGAATGCTGCAATTGTTAAAAATCATTCGCTTCCAAACTTCATTCGCTTCGTATAAACAAAACGTAACCGGAATATTTATTTGAAAAGCAGAATATTCTAAAAGTGGTTTTCCAGTAAAATAATGCCGAGAAAATACGCATCTGTGAAATGTAAACAAACTTTTAAAACGTGTTTATATCAACTTGGCGACGTAAAGGGATCGAAATATATTTCGGGTATTTTTTTACCTTTTACCTGTACGATAAGAACTGAAATACACTGAAATTATGGAAACGATGGAAATATATATATATATATATATATATATATATATATATATATATATATATATATATATATATATAATATACATATATATATATATATATATATATATATATATATATATAAAGTAGTTAGGTATTATTGACTGACACGTTATGTAAAATAAAGTTTTATTTTGAGGATGCAGTCATTTAAGTAGGGCAGGATAAGTAAAACTCTTTGTTCTTAAATCAAGCTTTCGCAAATTTATTTGCTTCATCAGGATATGCTAAAATATGTTATGGTAAATACAATGAAATTAGAATTAAAAAAACATTGTATAAAACTAATATAAAAACTTACAACATGAGGTTAAACCATTAAATTATTAAATTCACAAAACATTATTAATTTTTTTTAAATTATATTTTTATGTAAGTACAATATTTTAATTTTGAATATATTATGACATTGATTAATAATGATGTTTGATTAAATCAATAATAAAAACAGACACGAGTGTCTTTCTGACATAAATCAAACATCATTATTAATCAATGTCATAATATATTCAAAATTAAAATATTGTACTTACATAAAAATATAATTTAAAAAAAATTAATAATGTTTTGTGAATTTAATAATTTAGTGGTTTAACCTTATGTTGTAAGTTTTTATATTAGTTTTATACAATGTTTTTTTAATTCTAATTTCATTGTATTTACCATAACATATTTTAGCATATCCTGATGAAGCAAATAAATTTTGCGAAAGCTTGATTTAAGAACAAAGAGTTTTACTTATCCTGCCCTACTTAAATAACTGCATCCTCAAAATAAAACTTTATTTTATATATATATATATATATATATATATATATATATATATATATATATATATCTAGTCCGAGTGTTTGATGATGAAGCTGATGATGCTGAAATGAGTCAAAACACTCTATTGATACCGATTCGGGCTGTTAAACGGATTTTACCATCCAATTGATTCAACAAAACCGTAGCAAAGCTCTTGTTGAAATTTGTAGGTCTTCTATACATTTCGTACAGCTCAAAATCTTTCCGACTGTCTGAAGACGTAGGGCATACAGAAATGACGTTAACACAGTTTATTGATACCAATTCATACACGGAAAGTTTTAAGAATTATGTTCCTCTCGCCGTTTATTTTTATATATTCGTCATTTCATGTATATATTTATATATATATATATATATATATATATATATATATATATATTATATATATATATATATATATATATATATATAATTATTATATATATATATATCTATATATATATATATATATATATATATATATATATATATAAATATATATATATATATCTATATATATATATATATATATATATATATATATATATATATATATATATATATATATATATATATATATATATGTGTGTGTGTAAGGATCACTCAGACGAGTGGTGGGTTCTTATATCGGTCTCTAGGTGGAGAAATAAAAGACAAAGTTGATAGGCTACTTTATCTATTTTGAAGACGTTTCGCTTTCGAGTTTTGAAAGCATCATCAGTTCATCTAAAAAAATTTTACAATATGAGAACCACACAATCATGGAAACGATGTTAATTGTTACCTTAAAAAGATATGTAGCAGTCAATGTTATTAACAATAATGTGAATGAAACTAAGTAAATGGACATAATACGCTGATTTTGTATAAACAGTTAAGTAACTAACAACATATATGAACTTATAAAAAATTAGCACAGCAAATGACCATGTGGTCTAAAGTAAATTCAATGTTATTTAATGTTAATTAGTGAGTAAGAACCAAGAAAATCATAGATAACTTCCAACTATTTAATGAATATTAAGCTTTGATTTTAACTTTAGGTAGCAGAGTTGCGGGGAGTTGCTATTACACTACCAACTTTTTTCACTGTGTTGTCTTTTGCAACCGGGTAGTCATCCAAACTCATTTAAACTTAAATTGACCGCCCAAAATTTGGGTTGGTACCTACACCTTGTTGATCTGTTGAAAGTATTTTTGACCTCAAGGTTGGCTGTCTTTTCGCGGTTTAGTTCGTTCCTGTTTCATTAAACGCCATTTTTCCCGGCGACATTCATAGGGCTTTGATCGGTAACTTCATTTATACTACTTTTTAAAATTTTATTAATATCACTTATAATGCTACCTAAAGTTAAAATCAAAGCTTAATATTCATTAAATAGTTGGAAGTTATCTATGATTTTCTTGGTTCTTACTCACTAATTAACATTAAATAACATTGAATTTACTTTAGACCACATGGTCATTTGCTGTGCTAATTTTTTATAAGTTCATATATGTTGTTAGTTACTTAACTGTTTATACAAAATCAGCGTATTATGTCCATTTACTTAGTTTCATTCACATTATTGTTAATAACATTGACTGCTACATATCTTTTTAAGGTAACAATTAACATCGTTTCCATGATTGTGTGGTTCTCATATTGTAAAATTTTTTAGATGAACTGATGATGCTTTCAAAACTCGAAAGCGAAACGTCTTCAAAATAGATAAAGTAGCCTATCAACTTTGTCTTTTATTTCTCCACCTAGAGACCGATATAAGAACCCACCACTCGTCTGAGTGATCCTTACATATATATTGGATTGACGGTCGTACTCCTTTTTCCGATATATATATATATATATATATATATATTATATATATATATATATATATATATATATATATATCTATATATATATATATATATATATATATATATATATATATATATATAAATATACGTGGAAAGCGGTCTTTTTTAACCACACTTTACTTACGTCGGATTTGTCTGGAGGAAGTTTACAGGAGAAAAGTCAAAATGATTACTGTAAACTATACATATTACTAACCTGTATGTTTTACAGAAATAAAATAAAACTTAATAGTTTGAAACTAATTTTATAATGATTTTAGTATGATTCAAAGGAATTTTGTGAATATGGAAAATATGTTCGACCTTCTTAGAGAAGAACAGGAAGTTGTTGATTCTCCAGACGCTAATGAAATAGTTGTCTCAAGAGGCGGTGTTGAATTTAAAGATGTTACCTTCAGATATCTCCCTGAAAAGGAGGTTTTAAAAAATATTTCGTTTTCTGTCCCATCTGGGAAAACGGTTGCATTGGTAAGCACTTTTTTGTTTATTTTATTTATTTATGAATGTCTCTAATTTTAACTGGTGTTTGTTTATGTATTATGTTTCGGTTTTCTGGTAAAAGACGGTTTTACCATAAAGACTTTCGGTAGGGATCAATGAATGATCATCACCGGGCTTTCACCGTATTACTCATCCATCGGCTAACTCGATTCATATGTGAATTCCAATTCAAAGCCATTTCCAATTTGAAAAACTATTCACATTGAAGTGAATCCGCCAGGCCGTTGAGACTTTCTTGGCTGTGTTACAGATATCATCAATTTTACTTTTAAATCTATGTTCAAATTAATAATTTTAAATATTATATCTTATGTTCTTTTTAGGTGGGTCCATCAGGAAGTGGCAAGAGTACAATTATAAGACTTCTATTTAGATTCTATGATGTAGAGTCAGGAGTGATAGTAATAGACGGACAGCATATTAATACTGTTACTCAAGAGTCATTAAGAAGGTCTATCGGTGTGGTACCACAGGATACAGTACTATTTAATAATACTATAAAGTAAGTATTTAAGTTCAATACACGCTAGTGTATTAAATAATATACTACCAACTCGTAAGCTAGTTGTTTCTGTTAACAAATGTATCAGCTTGTTCAGACGTCATGCATGATACGATAGTTTATTCGAAACAATACGAAATATTATTGGACCCAATATCTTTAGTCAGAGCCCTAGCTTGTTTGTCGCAACGGTAAATAATGTATCTACATACGTTTTTCACGATGTATCGGTATCTAAAACGTCGAAAACGACGGAACAGAAGATAAGAACAGAACATAAACGTATCAAAATTTCCTTGTCTACTTTATACATCTCGTAGATAATATACTACGTCCGAGGCATTAAACCACTAATTAAAAAATTCCTTTTTTACTATGTACCTAAGCATTTTTGGTATTAGACAAAATTAGAATCGTGCGAAGGAGCGTACCTGGATATAAGCGCCACTTTACGAATGTAAATTTGGACGTTTTGAGTACAATAAAAGATCGAATTGTCTGTGATAAATAAACGAAAACACTCTTATTTAAAACTATGTGCCACTTATAGACGTAATATATTAACATGAACTCAGCATGCAAACAATCAGCAGTGACATCTTTTGCGGTTGCTCGATCTGTCTTTCTGTAGCGCATCGAATTCAGCAGTTAAGTGGGGGTATGGAGGAGGTGACTCAGATTTAGCCATACGGCTCACACTCTCTCTAAGGAGAACATTCACTCATCACAGATACCTAGTGTATCAAAAGGATTGAGCTCTGGTAACTCTTTCCGTGTTATCGAGCCCTAGGTGACTTGGTATCTCCCAAAAATTTTCGTACACATCTAGATGTTTCAGGAGTACAGCTTTCTGCATGGGCTTATATAGATGTTCATTTAGACCCAGTTGTTTTATGTTCTCTAGGAGGTTTTTGGGAATAACACCAGTAGTATATAGAATAATAGGTAGTGTCTGGGTACTTTTCATTCTCCATTCTCTGCTAATTTGTATTTCTATATCTCTGTACTTGGCGATCTTTTCGTTGTATTTATCACTCAAATTATTGGTGTTAGATATCGCCACATCAATAAGTGTTGTTTGTCTATTAAGTTTATTAACTAGTATGAGATCCGGTCTATTATGAGGCACTGGTTGGTCTGTGAGCACTGTGCGGTCCCAGTATAGCTTTTAGTTGTCATTTTCAAGCATTCTGTCAAGGACGTATTGACAATAAGGAAGATGGTCGGTTTGGAGAAGTCCCAGTTTGTCAGCTAGTTCTTGGGCTTTTTTATTATTATTAGGATTATTAGATTCTGGCAAACTGTATTAAACAATTAATTAATTACAGTAAACATTAATAATGTTTCATTTAAAAGACTGGCTCGGGTTATCAAAAGCAGTTAATTTTGAAATATATCCGACTTTAAGACACTGTTATCAAAACAAACGTAATCATCTTCTGAAAAGTGTCTACTACAAACTAACGAACTATAAGAAACAATGATTTTGATTCAATCACTTTTTAAGTTTTCATCTGTTGAAAATCTTTTAAAAAGTTATTTATTAACTTACCGGTGAAATCTCAAACTTTTAATTACTTCATATTCAACTTACGAATTCTACAGAAACCCATTTTTAATTTTTTAATACGAACACTTAATCTTTACATATTAAAGAACAACTATTAATTTAAAACTATTTAAAATTTTCTTCTATAACTTGGAAAATTATTCTATGGAGGAGTATAGGATTTCAAGGCTGGTGTTTTGTAATGATATATTGTTTTTCTTGTACTTACTTTCCGTGACCACTTCAATTCCAGTCAAATTGTAAGCCCTTCCGATTGTGAGCTCCTTCATAGACTTGGTTTATGTCTTCTTGGGTACAGGTTTTTCATAGTTATTAGCACATCAGCAGATGATCATTGGTATGTACAGCGCCACAGATCATCTTTAGTGTAGCCCCACTTTTTCATATTGTACTTGCAGCAGGTCACCCTACTCCGCAGCTGATCATTCTACTCCACAACAGGTTTCCACATGGAGAAAAGTAAGTTTGACGTAGTAGGTAGTTCCTCCTTATTGTCAAGTAGAGGTTGTGGATCGGGCCGGCTCCAAAGTTTTCTCTTGCGTTCGCTTAGTGAGGTCTCCAGCTATCTTGTGTAATCATGCATTTGGTAATGGTGGCTTTTGACTAGTTTGTCTTTCTTGTCCTCTGTGGCTACAGCTCTTCTACTCATAGGTGGAGCTATTGGACTGGGGTAGGTCTAAAGCACCTTGTAATGATTTAGCCCGTCTCCTTTAGAGCAATGCCTACTTGCGAGGTATGTGTTAAGAGTCTTAGTGCAAGCGCTGAGGTGCGAAGAATATGTGGATGAGCACCCCAGGTTATACCTGTCAATTTCTAGATAGATAGAAGATATTGTTTCTTGATGTTACTTTCATATTTGTGTTCTGACAGTGGTATTTGTAAGTGAGCGATTCGTCGAGGGTACCGGTATTTTGGGATTGGGTAGTGACCTAATTCCTATCCGGACCTCAAGTTTTTTGTCAGCTTCTTTAATATTTAAATGGAATATTTTTGACCGGCTTGGCTTCACGTAGTTTCGTTCATAGTAAACTTTGAGTTTATCTAATGCTATTGAAATTTTACCCTCCACCTCTGCAAGTGATCTTCCTTGTGCAGGGATGGCAATCTGCGTGTAAGAATTGTTTTGTTTTATGATGTATTGGTTGGTCGTTTGTGTAGATGAATAGGAGCGAAGCCAGTACACAACTCTGGGCCAGTCCATTTTTCTGGGTTCTCTAGCGGTCGTTTTAAGTTTGGACATAGAATTTTGGACATTTGTTACATAAAAACTAACGGTTCTGCAGTATACATTGTATAAAGTTGGTTGATTTTATGTCTTTTGACAGTTTGTACACTTTAGAGACCAGTGTTTGAGGGTTTATGGTGTTACAGGCTGCGGGAATATCTGCTTTCTTTCAAAACCATCTTCAATATGTTGGATCATATTGAGGATCTGGTCACGGAAGGGTTGACCAGTACGCAAAACCAGCTTGTTTTCGGATCATAGTTTCTTCTATGGTTGTTTATATGCGATTTGGGACTATACGCTCCATGATTTTGAAAAGGTGACATAGCAATGCGATTCGGCGATAATGTTTAGCTTTCGATGGATCTTTTCCAGGTTTCAGTAGAGCAATGGCATACATGTAATTTTTGATCAAATCCAGTATACATTGATTTGTGACTGGGTCGAATTGATAGATTTGGTCAGTCCTTATGTTGACAGGACCTGCATGTGGACAGGACCTGCAGCTTTGTTATTTTTCATGGTCATGACTGCTTCCCGCAATTCGCCGAGTGTGAAAGGATCTTGTAGCATGTGATTTTTGTTGTTTTCAACTCTTTGGATTTTGGTTTTCTGCGGCCTTGTTCTGGTTTTTCTATTTAATAGTGATTGGTGTGCCGCCTGATTAGCGCTCAATCATTGAATATTTGAGTTTTTGCACGTAGCTATCTTGGTTTAGGTTAATGATAAGTTTCCACGCCCTTCTACTGGTATGTTTCATGTCTAGGTTCTCTACCAGGTTGATCCATGTTTCTCTTTTATTTCCAGTTAGCATTTGTAGTAGGATGTCGCCTGATTCGATGGTGTCTTCGGAAAAGACCTCGAAAAAGTAATTAGTAAGGCGGATTTTCCAACTCCTACAGCCCCTGTGAATGTGTTTCCGCGATATAGTTTTAGCAAGGTTGACAAAGGCCTTCATTTAACTCTACCTTTGTAACGAACCAATATAACTATCGAGATCATCTGTAAAGCTAGACCAACTAGCCCTTTTGAAACTGAAGCGTCTGTTAAAAGCCTCTTCTCACCTTCTCAGTCTACATTGGCTTTGAAAAGTATTAGTGACGAGAAGCAAGTCTATTTTGTATCCTCATTTCCACTCAGCTGTTGAAGGATCAGGGAGCTTGCGGTGAAGAACCAGTTTAAAGTTGTTATTCTTTGCCCAGGCTTCGACTTTCTGTAGAAGCTGGCTGCCAAGATGTGCTGTGGCTGTTAAAAGAGCCTGTAATAACTTTGATGTTTTTCTTTGACATGTTACTGGGGGCTATAAAATTAAACTCTTCGATTAGAGGTTTGTAAACTGAATAGATGGTGCATGTGTGGAATTCAACTGTTGGTATTTCAGTGTTAATATTGCATGTTAGAGAACTAGAATTAATGGCGACATCAGATTTGACAAATACTGCACTGCCATACAGGCAATGAGATCGTTCTATTGATTAATGAGATCTAACTGGACGATCGTGTAGTCCAGTTAGCAGCAGAAATGCCTAACAATACCGCACCGCTCTTGACAATGTTTGCCGCAGCCGCAGACAAATTATCAGCATATAAATAATGCTAGTCTACGTCCTATAAATACAATGTAGCATTACAATATCCCAAGTGCTAGATTAATTTATTTATTATTTAGAAATGATGGTAGAATAAGTTATTTTTATCTCCTTTTGTAGATACAATATACAATACGGTCGACTAACAGCGTCTGATGCTGATGTAATCGAAGCCGCCAGAGGCGCTGACATACACGATAAAATTCTCACGTTCCCAGAATCATATGAAACAAATGTTGGAGAGAGAGGACTTAGACTTAGTGGCGGAGAAAAACAGAGAGTAGCCATAGCGAGAACATTATTAAAAGCGCCAAATATAATCCTATTAGACGAAGCTACAAGTGCTTTAGATACACAAACGGAAAGAAATATACAGGTAAGCCAAAATAATTTATTTATTTTTTGATTAAATTGTATGTAATACATTCTTTTTCCTTTTTGATTTAGGCAAATTGGCTCTTTTATCTTCATACAACTACCCTCTTCGTGTTTATGTCATCACCCTACCACTTCAGGGGACAGAAATGCTCCGTAGTGATTTATATTGATAGATTGTCACCATTCTTCCACATTTTATTTTGTTAGTGTATTCATCTCACCCTGTTTTTTATTTTTAATACTGTTATTAATATCTTATATAGACCTTGCATGCATGTTTTATGTTTTCGCTTCTCTCTCTTTCTCTTGATTTCTCTCTCTCTCTTTTCTTTTACATGTTACTAAGGTTTTCTTTAGCTTTTTTTTATAAAGTATCCGAGTTTCTGCCGTTTTACTGCAGTCTTTTGTTATTTAATGTACCTACATGGTCGAAAAAAAAATTTTAAAATATAAAAATTGAAACAAAAGAGAGAAATCAAACAAAATATTGATATGGAATATAGGTACATTAAAAGTTCCACTGAAGCTTAGTAGGAAGAAAAGGAAAATTGAAAAAGAAAGAAAACGATAACTTGAATTGTAATTGCTCTTATTTACATTATCCGCTGCAATGTTGAAAGGTGTGATGCCAGAAAATCGCAGATCTTTATCGAACACCTATAACTCGAATCGTCGATCGATTATGATCGATGATCAGGGGCGTAGCAAGGCTGACATACTAAAGATACCTAAATATTTGAATTTTTATTTCTTGCTCTATACTTACTCCATCTGCTTTTAAGGTTTTTTCAGAGGTATTTTGACGTGCATTTTTTTTTAGAGGCGAAAATAATCATGTTGAAATATGTGTTATTATTTCGTTCATAATGCTATTGGACAGAAGTGGACCAATACTTCCGTCTGGCCAATATGCTTTATACATATTTTCTATAGTCTTAAGAATTTATGTGTTAGGGAGAGCGCCCACCAAACTGGCATGGCAAGTGGCAAGTAGCAAGTAGCGCGAGTCTAGCATGTTAATTAAAATGTAACCAATGAAAACTAATGATTCAGCGCACACCAAAATGACAGTGACGTAACAATTACCAAAATAACAATTTTTTGTATGTTCCAACGATTTCTATATAGACAGTTTACGAGCCTTGTTTCGCTAGACAGTATGTTTTAATCTTAGGTGTTTCATCTACATTGAACTTTTCGGATACCGAGCTTTCACGAATGACATCATTTATCCACTTTGGTCTGCAAATTTTTCCATTTTTTATGAACTCTTCAGTCAGTCGTAAAGTGTATCATTGTATAACTAATGGATGTTGACAAAAGCTATGACCTTGTAAATAACAGGCAAACTTGTGTATTAAATCGGCATAACTCATAGATCTTGACAAAATCCATTACCTTTATAAAAACCATATAAAATAGTAATCCATTTTAATATGAAATTTTTTTTAGGAGTCTCTAAATAGAATGTGTGCAAATAAAACTACAATCATAGTAGCACACAGGCTATCTACTATTATCCACGCAGATGAGATATTAGTTTTACAAGAAGGAAGCATAGTGGAGCGAGGAAAGCACGAACATTTAATAGCACAAGGAGGAATATATGCAAGTATGTGGGAACAACAGCTACAAAATAAAGACAAAGAACCTACAGAAAATAAATCAGAAAATGCTGAGCCTAAGAAACGGAATAAAAGAAGATAAATTATTACTCTGAATAAAAATGTGTTAGTAATAGATGGCGGCTGTGGTATTAATTATAGATGTTATTTTTATACACTAAATAAATATTTAAAATACTCATATTTTAGTTTATTTGATAAATGTTATCCAATGGCATAATACTTATAACAGTTCAAACTAATTTTTTGATATTTCCTTGAAAAAGCAACACTTAGACTATACTGGCAAGGGTTGAAGAAAGGTAAGTTGACACCTATTCTTTAATATCAAATAGATTAATGAAGAAATATGATAGAAGAAATATATCAATAAATATCATTTGGAATACGATGAATCTTCATATTCCGAACTAACGCCTTCATCTGGTCAAATATGAGTCTGAAGAACATTAGAAGCCCCGTTAGCTTGGAAAATCCAATTACCATTTTAAGCAACAACATAAATGAAGTAGTAAATACAAAAATAGTCAGACAAGCAGGCCATCAAAATTTGCAAATCGAAGAATGCTTTCCATTCTCATATTAACTTCATTAAAAAGGATACTTTGGAACCATCGATAAATCTGGATCCTTTGACCCCACCAAGAGTTAGATTAACCAATAACTCAAACAGTCGATATCTTCTAGCAAGATTAAGGGAACCGGATATATTGAAAGCCATTAAACTACATCTTGCTTTTCTACGCGACCAACCTACTTCAGTATGTTACGAAGGATTCACCAACACAAGTGTTAAAGTCTTTTGGCTTCCGAACGACTTCCCACTAAGACTGAAGATCTACAAAAAATCTTTCTAGAATTTAATGATGCCTATGGAATTGGTAAAACTGAGGCAGAAGCTGATTTTGCTGCTTTTAGGTCCTTTCTAACTTCGGAAAGAATTATTCACCTACAAAAATCAAGGGAAAGTCACCGAATTACCATTCAGTTGTCTTTCCAAAACGAAATTTTTAAATAATATGTGTTCTGTGGGACTAGAAACGTCAAATTACTATAGTGATGACAACTTTAGCATGGTTCTGATTAATATTCGTTCTGTAAGATATAAAAGATCCACTGAAGTGTGTGGAATAAAAAAATATAGTAAACAATTGAAAAGGACAAGATGGTGGAATAAAGAAGTGAAGACAGAAATAAAAAAGAAGAAAATAGCATGGAAAAAATACACTGAAACGGGATTAGAAGAAGATACAGAAAAATACTATAGGCAGAGACGATTGGTAAAAAAGACAGTCACACAAGCAAAAGCAAAAACATGGAAAGAATTTGGAGAAGAACTTCAGAAAGAATATATAACAAATAATAGAAACTTTTGGACAACAATACGACACATAAGGCAAGGAGGACGAAAGGAAATAAACGCAGTAAGAGATACTTCAAACCAAATACAAATAAGCCCAGAACAAGTAGCTAGGGTATGGAAAGAATATTATGAGAAAAAATTTGATACCGAAGTAATAAATGAAGACAATATAAACAATGAAGGCGAAGAAAACACAAAGCTAGAGCAAATAAGTAGAGAAGAAGTAATAGAAGGATTATCAAATATAAAAATAGGTAAGGCAGGTGGAGGCGATGAAATTGAACCGGAAATGGTAAAATACATGGGAGAAGAAGGAATAAACTGGCTATGGAAAATATATAAAGAGGCGTGGGAAAAACAAACAATACCTAAAGACTGGCATATCATCGTGCCAATATACAAAAAAGGAGAACATGTAAACTGCGACAACTATAGAGCAATATGTCTGTCATCGGTATGTTTTAAAATATATACGAAAATAATAGAGAAGAGACTGAGACAAGAAGTAGAAATGGTATTGGGAGAAGAACAAACGGCATTTAGACCGGGAAGACAGACAAATGACAACATATATATCATTAGAAACCTAATAGAAAGAAGCATAGATACGGGCGAAAAACTAGTATTAGCAGTCATAGACCTAAGAGCAGCATTTGACACGATAGAAAGACATATAGGGAAATGCTTGAGAAAAATAAATGTACCTAATGCATTGATAAAAAATTATAGAAAGTACTTACAAAGAGGTAAAAGGAAGGGTACAAATAACAGGGGAACGATCGGAAGCATTTAATTGGAAGAGAGGTATTAAACAAGGAGATAGTCTCAGCCCTTTGCTATTCATAATAGTAATGAACGAATTGTTAAGAAACACTAGAATCAGAACCAATCAACTACAGACAATAATAGGTTACCACAGATTACAACCGTAACAATAGAGTCCTTAATGTATGCAGACGACATAGTACTAATAGCAGATTCCGAGAATAAAATGCAGAAACTAATGGATATATGGGTAGAACAAATAGAAGAACTAAAAATGGAGATAAACGAGAAAAAAAGTAAGATAATGATAATCAGCCGCAATGGAGATCAGGAAGATAATCAAATAAAGATAAAATGTAAAAACTCAGAATTGGAAATAGTATCAACTTACGAATACCTGGGAAGTATAATAACTAATGATGGAAAAATAGACTGGGAAATAACAAATAGAGCAAAGAAATCAAACAAGTTATACTATGCGTTAGCCCCAATAATGGGAAAAAGAGAACTTACACGAGAAACAAGAATAAAAATATATAACACAATAGTGATACCGACTGTGCTCTATGCAAGTGAAAACTGGACAATTATGGAAAAACATAAGAGCAGGATAACGCAATGGAGATGAGACATCTAAGAAGGATAGTTGGAAAGACAAAATGGGATAGATTAAGCAACGAGACTATTAGGAGAATGGCCAACCAGGAACCGATAATGAACAACATAGCAAAGAGACAAATGAACTGGTATGGGCATCTGACGAGGATGCAATCCAATAGAATAACAAAAAAAAGTTTATGAAGCTAAAAATATCGGAAAAAGAAAAAGAGGCAGACCAAGAAAAAAATGGATACAGCAAGTAGTAGAGGCGGGAAAATTTAAACAAAAATCACTCGAGGAAATGAAAATAATGGCAGGAAACAGAAAAGAATGGAAGAGGTGGGTAAATGGAAATTAAAATAGCTAGCCCAAATCCGACACCCTGATAGGGTAAAAGGAAGGGGAGAAAGAAAGTAAGATATAAAACAGATGAATTATTTTTGTTTGTAGAGGAATTAGGATTTCACCCGAAAGTTAGGGTTACCGAACACTGGCTTGAAGTTAACGAGCCTTTTTTTGTAGAAAAATATATTACAAATGCTAGGTAGGATCATCCAAATTCAGCTCATGGTAGCACCCTAATTCTTTCTACAAATAATGATTTTTCTCCTATAACAAAATATGACTTTCCGTTGAATGAATCCTTTTTTTGAGTTTTCATTGGTTTATAATAAATATCTTAATCTATACATTCTTTGCATTTATAGATCACCTTACTCTTCAACGGAACTATTTTTTCAGAACCTGTTAAATTTGTTAGACGACCTGCCCCATAAAAGCAGAAAGATTCTATGCGGTGTATTGAATATTAATTGCGCTGTTGCTTGTGCTACCCAATTATCCTTGGGGAATATATTCGAATCGTATGGTTTTACAATGCACGTTAATTATCCTACAAGAATTACTAAAACAACATCTACCATAATTGATTATGTTGTCTCAGATTTCTCACCCGTTGTTGTACGTTGTGGACGTGTACTATTTCAGTGATTTTTTAGATCAGCTTGTCTGTATTTTCAATAAGGCATTTCCTTTAATTACAATTAAGTCAAAGCATCAGAAACCCTGGATTACCAAAGTATCCGCATATCAAATATGCGTTCATTACTGTACATCAAGAAATTTACTACCAATGACTTTGTCATTATATCTCCAAGTACAGAGGAACCTATCTAAAACTTATCAAAACAGCTAAAAAAATGTACTATGAGAATCGTATGGGAAGCTTTAAAAATGTAGCAAGGAAAACTTGATCCATAATAAACGATCTTCGAAATAAAACTAACACAGCTATAACATTTTCTCTTCTAAATCCTGAATATCTAAATCAATACTTCGTTAATGTGAGTAAAAATATAACATCAGCTATTTTGCCACAAGATCCTATTTCCTACCTCCCCAATTCAAAAAAGGTCTCGAATTCATTCTGTATAAGACCAGCTGATTCATCTGAACTGATCCAAACAATCAATAGTATCAAAAGCAAATCTTCCTGTAGTACCGATGGACAATCCATAAAAATTTTCTTAAATCTCCCAAATAATGTGTTCGAAGTCCTGGTCTCACTAATTTCACTAATAAACGATTCCTTTGAAAAAGGTATATTTCCAGAGTGCCTAAAGACAGCCATTATTATTCCTCTTCATAAGTGATAGGTGATAAATCTAATGTATGCAACTATAGACCTATTGCCTTACTACTTACCGGTCCTATCCAAAATTATTGAGACTTACAAAAGCCCGACTTATGTCCTTTCTCGTTGAAAACATTTTATCACAAATTCAGTTCGGCTTTTTATCTAATAAATGTACCAGCGATGCTATGTTTTCTGTACTACATGCGGTCTATCAAGCACTAAACAATAATCTTTATACTGCCACTGTTTTTTGTGACTATGCCAAAGCTTTTGATTGTGTAAATCACGACATTTTGATAAAAAAAACCAGTACCATTGTAGTTCCAATCTTACTTGAGGTGTAGAAAACAACTAGTTAGAGCAAATGATACTGACTCTAGTCACAAAAGCATTGTATGTGAAGTACCACGAGGTTCAGTACTGGGTCCTCTACTTTTTCTTATCTTTATAAATGGCAACACTAACTTAAAAATCGATGGAAACATATTTCTTTTTGCTGATGATACCAGTATTACCTGGAAGAACTCTTAATATTGCAACTATTCATGCAATTATAACTTCTGATCAACTTAAAATAAAAACCTGGTTCGACTCTAATTTACTCTCTTTTAACGTGGACACTCTTTTTAAGAGAGAAGCATTATCCTATAAAGGAGCTCTTCAACCCTTGCTTCTTAATAACAGCCAGATCAGTATCGTTGATTCTGTAAAATTTCTTGGTAGTTTTATAGACAGCAGCCTTAAATGGTCCCTTCATATCGATTTGTTAAGTAAGAAGCTAGCCTCAGCCTGCTATGCAATAAGGTCTGTTTCGAAGGAAATGAATTTAGCATCGTCCAATATACTTTTCTTTGTTCGAGTCTCATCTTCGATATGGCCTTCCTTTTTCTGATCTGCCCAATCTGATGTTATTTTAAATTACAAAAATGAGCAATACGGTATCTTTTTGGCCTCAGTAGAATAGCACATTGCAAAAGTTACTTCAAAAATCATGGGATTTTAACTCTTCCCTCTCTATATTATATTCTAGAAACTGTTTGCTTAATTCGTAAAACACCTACATGTTTTTCCAGCAAGACCTAATGATGGCTACTCCACCAGAAATTAAAGCTTTGGTGTGTACTTACCGATCCCATCCACTGAGTTAGTAAAGAAATCTATATTATATTCGGCAAAAAACACACACACACTTGTATTCTGTAAATCGATCTCGCTTTTATAAGAGTTCATTTTTAAGGTATATTAAAAAAAACACAATTTTCAACAAACAACAACAAAACCTTTGACTAACAGGAACCAAGATAACTTTTTTTTTCTTAAAATCATATTTCTATTGTTTATTACCGTTAAGAGCTGAAAATTGTCTAAGCTCATCTAAAAAGTGGTACTCTCGTATAACGAGAAGTAAAAAGTTATGTATTTAAAATTATGGTACTTGTAAAATACCGTCACGGAAAAGTGGAGGGGTGAACTACAAAAATATTTTATATACTTATTAGCCACTTATCTTCATTAAATGAAATTATAAAAAAATTAATTATTTTGAAGAAAAAAAAGTTAACGAATTTTATTCATTTATAATAATTATTATATATTTATATAAATAATATACACTTATCAATAAAATTTAAATATTTCTTACGATAAGATAGATAAGATAGGTCAAAATGGCACATTTCTTATTATTTTTTTTTGGTTGAGCTACCCCAGTAAAAAAAGAAGATTCTACGTGCCACAGAAGCCGAAATATTAAATATTTTGCAAGCGCGCTTCAATTTAAAGTTCCAATCTAACAAAAAACGAAGCCCAGATCGGTCTTACTTCCACTTTTCCGTGGCGGTATTTTATGAATACCATTATTTTAATGGGTTATAACTTTTTACTCCTTTACTGTATATGCCATCTATAACTAGAATCATACATTGTAGATCTTCATTTAAAATCTTTTTAATTTTTATATCTTAATGTTAATAAACAATGGAAATATGATTTTAAGAATTAAATGCTGTCTAAGTTCTTATTGGTTAAATAATGTTCTGATTTTTTTCTCCAGCTTTTCAATAAGATTACTTACAAGCGTATGACATAAAAAATATCAAAGTTAATATAAAGGTTTAGAAGTTAAAACTGAAGGCGCAAAGAACCGATTGCAAGTTACAAAATACTTGTAGAGTCACTGTTTAGACAAGTGAATTTGTTTAAATAATCACTCTCTGGAATAAACAAATTGAATAAATTGTACACCATTTTTTCGATCTGCTTGATATTTGGGACACGTTGATAACTCATTAATTGCCATAATTTTAAGTAACTATATTACCTGTCGTTATGCAAAAAACAAAGTTATTAACATTTATAAATTACTACAAACATAATATTTTAGAGTTAAGGGTTTTTTTGCAATTATCTAGGTCAACTATTTGTGTATTTTAATTTGGTATCTTTCAACATAAAAAAAACTTTATATGGTCTACAACTTTTAGTTGGATTATTTTTGTTTAGAATGTATAAAAAACGTTTTATAAGCAAAACATTTTTTTTTAATTTTTAAGATTGTTTAAAAAAACTAAGCAAAATCAACTGTACGTCTTGACGAATATTTCATCAGCTACCCCTCATACTATTTAAAATTTAAATATCTGTATAAGATTTTTTAAAACTATTTAGCGAGAGATTATGTCAACTACTTGTGGCATGGTTAAGTTAAGTATTATTTTTTTATGTGATTAAGCCACAATTATTGGTCGTTATTGAGATGAAAATTGCATTTTTAATTAACTAATATTTAACGTTTAGATGTCCACTATTTAACCTTGTTAATTGTACAAAAAACGATTTTTGACAACGATTTCCGGAATGGAAATCAAAATATTAAATATGAATTAATTAAAAGTGTGATCCTCATCACAATCACAACCAATAAGCCACAATAATCGCATAAAAACATATTTATCGCAAACTATTCACTGATAACTTCGATTAAATAGAATGTAAATTTAAATATGTAAAATAATTCCCTACACAATTCTCTGGGAAAAATACCTAGGTTAAATAAATATAACAACAACGAAGATAAAAACCTGTTGACCACAACTAGCCGACAGGTAGTTTCAATGTATCGATGTATGTAACGATCGATATTTATGTATCGAAATATGTACTATTTTAAGTATTAACATCGGCAACAACTATTGGCTCTAAAATAATACCAAATTCAGTGATTTTACCTCTCGAGGTTAAAATGTATGTTTGATGTAAAAATTTAATATATAAAAAAATCGGAATATTGAAAAACCGACAACGGTGCCAAGCCTACAAAGGTGCACTAAACGAACATACATGACATATATAGAAAATGATAACATTTCCTAGTGATGCTAAATTACTACAACGTGAAAGAGTTCAAAATGATAGCGGGATGTATTTATATATATATATATATATATATATATATATATATATATATATATATATATATATATATATATATATTAACCCAGAGCTAAGAATAATAGTATTACAGAAATTAATATTAAACTCAACAGTCTACCGGTTTGAACGACGTCGATTATCATTGCGGCTAAAATAACAATCTACGGAATTTTAATGCATAGCCTACCTTAATTAGGATTGTTCGATGGTTCTCTACAATAATAATATTGATTTAGGTTAACCGTATTACTGACAGGTAGCTACTCCTGGCGGCATTATTATTTGAAAGAAAGAAGTTTTCGATAAAAAAAATCTGATATTAGAGAATGAAAATATAATAGATTACCGTTCTTTAATGTGAATAATACCCCAGAAGGGATATAAAACTTTAAATTTACATCTTTCAATAAGACGAGACCCATAACATCGACATAGTTTAAAAAATTATTTGTGAATAATATTAATCTAAATATTTTTTTAATATGAACACTTTTGTATTTATTTTCTTACCCTATAGAGTAGAAAATACCCTAACATAGAGTACTTCTAAGTAAAATCAGGACAGGGTCTTGGATCTATAAGAGGAAGAGTGGAAAGAAGTACAAAGGGTAAACGAATTAGCTGTTTGTATTGTAAAATTATTTATTGAATAAAAAATTTTAACTAGACGAAAACATTTATCACGGAATAAAATTGGTTGGGTGGATTAATATAATTAAAATATACATATAATTAAATAATTGCTAAATGATATAAAATAAAGTTTCCCTTACTAGATAAAAACCTGCAACGAGGAATCACATTTCATTTATCCAGAAGTATACAAGAAACTTAACGAAGATCAGCTGCAATACCGTTGCTTTCGACCTCTAAACTTGTAACATTCAAAGGAATTAAAATTTTGTTATCCATTGTTTTTCTATAAGCTTTTATAAACTCTTTACCGATAGCAAGCCCTAAGAGCGGAGGTACCGCGTTACCCACTTGTCTGTATTTGTCCAGAATGTTCCCACAGAATCTGAACTTATCAGGAAATCCCTGAGATCTTGCACATTCTCTGACACTCACTACTCGATGTTGTTCCGGATGAAGAACTGAAAAAAAAACATTAATAATTAAAAAAGATGGACGTAAAGTATGTTACTGCGTTACTCTAAATATGTCATAATGCCAAAGAACATACTTTAAGATAGGAAAGACGGATATTGTCCACTGTGTAAAATGTGAAATTTATACAAACTACTTGATGAAGCCCAATATAGGCAGAAGCATGTCATAGTGTGGGCGAAAAACAAATTTTTATAAAAGACACACATTCGCGCTTTTTGGTGCATAATAAGCAGTTCTTTATGCTACTAATTACAGAAATTTGCTATATCTAGAAAATAGAGATATTTTTAAATATAAGATTATTTTTTGATTTGTTGTTTTAATATACAATTTATACAAAAATATATTTGTCTTACCTCTGCCCTGTTTTCCCATAGGTTCGGGATTTGTAATCGTGGTACCAAAATATCCATCCCATTCCAGTCTACCATACAGGCCTGCCCAATGATTATGACGATCGGCAGTATGCGGTAAACACCATGGAATCAGAGTGTTGGATTGTTTGTCTGCCGGATCACATGGTTTTCCGAGAGCACATTGGCATACACCGCCTTTAGATACTCCTTTCTTTTTGTCAGTTCTAAAATAAAGAATCATATAGATAAAGATTTACAAAAAAAATTTAAAACAATTGACCGATCTGAGTGAACATACAATGGCTGCTCTAGAATCGCTTCAGCGAAGAAATTTAATATTACATTATTTAGTGTAAAATACAGTTCGGAATTTACATACTTATAGGGATATTGCAGAATAAATGTTTTCGACCCATCAGGTAGCGATAGACTGATGTTGGGTAAGTCCCGCCAATCTGCTCCTGGATAAGTTGGTATATGGGACATCCTAGCTTCTACTAGTGCTGACATTTCCTTACAAATATGATCCCGAACTAGAATAGTATCATCGTTACTTCTTATTATCCTTTGATAATGTGTCTTTGGTTCGCTGTCGTAGGGTAACTCAGTTTTGGAAGAACCGTTCTTTATTTCTGGCAAATCGCATATGGCATCTCTTACAGTGATTGTCCTGTAGGGGGCCGATTCTACCCAGTCACATTCTAAAACAAATAAACATAAATAATAAAAGAGATAATTTATTTCTCAATTTTCCTTTTAGAAGACGTTTTTAAACATTTAATAGCTTACCTGAAAGGGCTGTTATTTCTTAATTTTTCTTATATGATATAAAAAGACTAAAAAATATACATTTTTTTATTTTTTTTTTGTAGAGTTTTGTTATTCAATTAGTTTCAATAGATTGCTAAATCTTGAATTAGACAAGTGTGGGGAGTCATGCTTAGTGTCATTTAATAATCATCATCTTTGACTAGACAGTCCTTTGTTTGAAAATTCTGTTCGTTTCTGGTGACCTGTTGGCATCTTCTGATCTCTAGTATCCCTAAGTCGGTCTCAACTCCATCTAACCACCTAATTCGCGGTCGGCATCTGCTTCTTCTTCCTATAGGTGTTCCTGTCGTTACCTTTTTAGCAATTGTAGTGTGTGACATTCGTATTATGTGAAATTATATCTTTCGCGCTACTGCCTTGGTCGTTTATAGCTCCAAATATTTTGCATACTATTTTATGCTCGAATATTCCGAAAACTATTTTAACCTTCTGCGATATAGTCTTTGTTTTCGCCCCATATGTGAGGACCGGCCTCATGCAGTGTTTTGTATATAGTAATTTTATTTCTTTGGATATTTTTTGAATCCAATTGTTTTTGGAGTCCATAGTATGCCCTATTTGTAAGAGTTATTCATCTTTCAATTACTTCGATTGTCTTGTTAGCAGTAGTCACTAGCGAGCCAAGACATTTGAAGTTGTCAACACGTTAAAAGATATGTTTCCCGTTCATTTGCTATAGGATCCTTAGTAACCAACATGTACTTGGTTTTGTCTTCGTGATGACTAGACCGACCTGTTTTGCCGCTGTTTCAATTTCTAGGAAATATTTCTCAATATCTCGCTTGCTACGCCCTATTATGTCAATGTCATCAGCGTATGCTAAGATTTGTATCGATATATTGTAAATAGTACCGCCGTCTCTAATTCGTTTGTTTCGGACTGTCTTTTGCAAGCCAATGTTAAATAGAAGGCAAGCCTGGGCATCTCCTTGTCGGAGTCCATCCTTTATCTCAAAGGATCGAGGATTCTTTCCCTATATACTAACACTGGCTTTTAGTAGTAGTTGCTGTACAACACAGCTGTAGTTGTCACACTGGAGCTGATCGTTTTTTTATGTAACGGGCATATCATGCCTTGGTCTCATTTTGCCAGATAAGAAATAAAAGTTATAGTTGGTTGCCTATCAGTACCCATAAAATTTTCACCACATTTCATTCCACATACATTAATCAATAAAACAATTTTCTCCATGTCCTTAACATAAATTTAGGACAAATTTCAAATTAAAACTACATTGGTGGTTGCTACTGTTATATTATTATAATTTTAACTGATATAATTTTTTAAATCTTGCTGGATTCTGTCATTTAGACAAATACCTTAAGTTACACTGACTGCTTTGTTCCGACTTCCGTCCTAACATGTCAATATTGTCATTTCAATCAGTTGCTATCATCAAATCCTAGTAGACATTTTCTTTCAGGACCAGAAACCTCATGTAGAGTCCTACGTTGCCATATTATTAAATCCACTGGTAACTGTAACATCTTAATATATAAGATCCAATAATGTAAAATAAATTTAAACCAATAACTTTTAATGGGTTTTTACCCAAATATTTAGTGGCTAAAAACATGTACACATAGCAAGTATTAATCACATTTTGTATTAACCTTGGTCAAAATTTAAATTTCACGTTCTTTTTAATTAAAGTGGTTATATACTTTTTAGGGCACTGATGATGGAATATGGATTCCGAAAACGTTTTAAGGGGGTATGTTCACGCCGCAGTTAAAATGAGTGGTGTTCAAATAAACTAACGTTTAACAATTTCTTGAATAGATGGCAGCACGTGCATCATATTTTAATATTTTGATTTTCTCGAAATTTAATTATCTGAACAGCGACAGTGTTGCCAACGAGGCCAAGTACTGGAACTTAAAATATAATATACGATCGGGAGAATCGGTATAGTTCGCTCTCGGTCGGCAGTCTTCTGCAATGTAAGTTGAAATTGCGCTATCGTATTATTTGATTTGAAGTTTCACAAATTCTAATTTTTGGATTGGATAATTGGATCATTCCATATCTCATTTTTTAATTTTTGTATAGTGTTGCGTTGAGGTTCATTTACCTTTGAAGTTAAATTGTTGTTTTGTTTTTTTTTGTAAACATTTTAAATGGTGCATATTAGTTTTGTAAAAAACTAAATTTATTTCAAGTACAAAAAATTATTTATAATAAAAATATACACCTGTAAATTTCATAATTTATTAACTCATCAGAGGACGCTAAGGACTGATCAGTTCTTTGTAATTTTACATTTATCTTGGCAATAAGACTATTGAATTTATATTCATTTTCAGCTAGTAAATAAATCAATTTTTTTTTTCATTTTAAACTTCACTCTGTAAAAATGTCATTAACCCACTCTAAAGTGTGTTTTTAAAGTTGTAACTTCTGCAGTTTTTCCAATATTTTCCATGGACACGAAAACATAAGATGCCATAGTCGAATCATATTTTCTGGCAGACATGACTTAATAAGAGGATACAATATCGCCGCTAACTTGTCAGCAGTTTTGTCTAAGGTCTCAAGTGAACGAAGTTGACTGTCAATCATATCATAAAGAGCAGAAATATTACTATTATATATATATATATATATATATATATATATATATATATATATATATATATATATATATATATATATATATATAATACTAAGAAACTCGACTTAAAATTAACTTTCGAGAGCTCTCTAATGTAAACTTCAATTTGGAGATCCTCTATGCCAAACCTAGACTGCAATCTCTGAATAATTTTTGAACTCGATTGGAGGTAATTTAAATTTGGGCTTCTTCGGAAGCTTCTTCGAATATACTTTTAAGTACCGTAGGTTAATCGAGGCAAAATTTTGCCTTGGTTTTACCTATATTTACCTTTATAGTCGTACTTGTTGAATGACAATATCGAGTAATAAAAAAAGGGGTCGATGGTCAGAAGTTATATCGGCAGCTGTTATATGGGCAATCAATTGAAAATTTTGGATTATTGATAAGAAGGGAATTATTTGTAAGGTATGCTTTACGTCAAGTTGATGTGAAAGATATTTAATGTGCAGAAATTTCTGTGTGGTGTTTTGTCTACAACTTCCTGTTCCTTTCTATGTTAATCAATGTGAATTGAACTACCGATTTGTTTGCTGTCGTTCAGATCGTCAAATTAAGTATCTGTACGGTAATATTTTTCCTTTTATGTACTGTTTTGTGAATTTATTCCAGTTATTAGTTTCGGTTTCATAATTAATTTTTCATAAGTTGATTTTTGTGAGTGTAAGAGAGAATCTTTCTGTGCAATATGAGTGGAAAGCGAAAGAGAGTAATTGCACCTTTGGAAACAAAAGTGAATACAATTAAGAGGTTGGACAAGGGTGAATCAATAAAGAAAGTTTCTTTAGATTTAGATGTCGAAGAAGTAACTGTTGGATATTGGAAGCGTAAGCCGAATGAAATCGAACAATGGGTAAACCGAAGTGTGAGTGGTGGTAGTGGATTGGTCCAAAAAGCTTTGTTGTTGTTGGACAACGCACGATCCCATCCATATGTGAGGGAATTGATTAGGGGTGACATACAAGCTGTGTTCCTTCCACCCCATGTAACATCTCTCATTCAACCCTAGACCAAAACGTTATATAAGGAATGAAGAGGAATTATCGGCGGAAGCTTCTTCAAGTACTATCTATCTATCTATCTAATCAGCCTTAGACGCCCACTCTTGGGCATAGGCCTCCCCTGTTAATCTCCATTGGTCTCTATTTTGGGCGATCTACATCCAGTCCTTTCCTGCCTTTCTCTTAAGATCGTCAGTCCATCTCATCTGTGGTCTTCCTCTTTTTTTTTTTTTCTTTTCCCATGGTCTCCAGTGTAGAATTCGCTTATTCCATCTTTCATCTTTTTGCCGGAGAGTGTGACCGGCGAAGTTCCATTTAAGTTTTGCAACCTGTCTTGATACATCGTTCACCTTTGTTTTTTCTCTGATCCATGAGTTTCTTTTCCTGTCTTCAAGACCGAGGCCCAGCATCTGTCTTTCCATTGCTCTTTGTGTTTGTCCCTTTGTAAAAGTCCATGTTTGCGAGCCATATGTGATAACTGGTAAAATGCACTGGTTGAATACTTTCGTTCGCATATATATAGGGAACTTTTTATTTTTTAGAATATATGATAGTTTACCAAATGAGGCCCATGCTAGTCTAGTTTTTCTTTCTTTTTCTTCTGTTTAATTGTCCCTGTTCAGCTTTATTATCTGTTCTAGGTATATGTATTCTGCCACCTGCTCTAATTTATTCTGTTTGACTACTATTTCTAATTGGTCTTCTTGGTTTGTCATAGTCTTGGTTTTACTATAGTTCATCTCTAGACCTATCTCTGTCGCTTTTCTATCTAGTTTCTCAACCATCTTCTGTAACTCTTCCTTCTTATCTATTATCAGGACTATATCGTCTGCATATCTCAAGGTACTCTGCATATCTTCAGCCACTGCTAACTATAAACTGGATGAAGGGCTGACTGTAATTGAGGCATTGAAGAAGATTACGGTTAAAGATGTTTGCTATTGGATTGCATCTGCCTGAGACGACGTAAAAATGTCCACTACTCAGAAGTTGTGGAAACAATTATTTAAGATAGACAACAAAACACAAGCCGTTCAAAATGAAACTGATGACATAAAGTTGATTCTATAGCTCACCTAGCCAATCAATTACCAGTAGAACAAACAATCGTAAACCAAGACATCATCGATTGGAGGAATCTAGATGAAGAAGTGGAACTGACAGATGATACAATTGCCAATCTAGGTCTAAACGTCACTCATGAAGAAGAAGACGAAGATACAGATGGGATAACTCAAAAGATTTCTCATTCCGA